CCCCAAAACCCCAAAACCCCAAAACCCCCATCAATCAATCTTTTTGAATTAACTAGGTAATGAAATAGAACAAATATATTACCAAGAGATCCAATTAAAATATTATAATCATGAAATAAAAGATGCTATAGAGATCCATGTAAGTCTTACTATTCTCTACTATTTTGACTGTGACTTCAGTATCAGCCTAAAATTCATTCCTGAAGGAAGATAATCAAATGTAAGAAATTTTATACTATAATATGGCTTAATCATAATAATATTAGTGATAAACTAGAGCAAACTCTTTAAAATAACAATCAACCGAATCAAATTCATTCCAATTATAAATCTGGGCAAAGAGTTGAAGGATTTATAGGTTGTCAATTGTGTAAACTAGGTGTCTCAGAAATCGATAAACTATTTACTTCTACATCAGCAGTAGATATCCTAGAAAAGGTAGCTACTTTAATTTGTGCAGATTTCGTTATGACTACGAATAGTACTGTTTGCCATGGTGCGGTAAAAGAAATGGGTGATATTATAGTTCCAGTTATTGCCCAATCAATCCTATCTCCAGACTACTTCTGCTCTGAGTTTCTTACTCAATGCTCAAACAGCAGCTACTACATCTTTGAAGCTGATCAATTCGTTTCAGACTTATTAAAAACTAAACCTGATTCCATCAAGGATAACGAATATCTTAATAATCTATACAATTCAATACAAGGATCTTAAAGAAAAACTCTCAAGGTTGTTTAAATTGCTGATCCTCATGTTGATTTCGCCTACGCTGTTGGAGCTGATGCTCAATGTAATATGCCATTATGTTGCAGAGCTGAGAACGGTTTTCCAACTGAGCCCTCAAGACAAGCTGAATAATGGGGCAGCTACCTATGTGATATACCACCTACTGTCCTTGAACACATGCTCAACTTTGTTAGAACAGATGTGTAACCTGATTTGCTATTATGGACTGGTGATAACTCCCCTCACAATGTCTGGGAAAATAGCAACTCAGAGGTTGCTAATGCAACAACTAACATTACAAAAATGATCAAGCAAGCTTTCAAGGGCTCAAATATCACTGTATACCCCATAATTGGCAATCATGATACTTGGCCAGTTAACGTTTAAGATTTTGATTTCGCTAATTCAAATATTCAAATTAATGCAATTGCAGAAAGTTGGATTGAATGGCTTGACTCAGAAACTCTAACAAATTTTGCCAAATTCGGATACTACTCTTAAGTTTTGAAACTTAAGGATGGTAGAGTTTTCCCAAACACCAAGGTCATTGCCATTAATACCTAGGCTTGCAACAACCAAAATTGGGAATTAATCAAGAACAGGTATGATCCAGGTAATGAAATAGAATGGCTCTAAGCTGAGCTTGCTTCTATTGAATAGATGAAAGGTTAAGCTATAATTATCGCCCATATTCCAACTAATGGTGATTGTGTGCATGGGTGGGGTCATAGATTCAGAGGTTTAATGGAAAGATATTAGCACATTGTAAGATTTAGTTTATTCGGTCACACTCACGACGATTCATTCAGTATATCTCAATCCATTATGGACTCTAAAAATATTGGTATCAATATTGTAGCTGGATCAATGACATCCTATCAAAATATGAACCCTTCTTTCACTGTCATTGAAATAGATGAAGAGCTCATGATTCCTTTGAACATTTAAACTTACTATTTCAATATTTCTCAGGCTAATCTTGGCAAACCAGAGTGGAAAGTTCTCCATGATTTCACTTAATACTATGGCTTGAAAAATCTTAGTCCAGATAGTCTTTTCCAACTTGCATTATCAATTAGAAATAATGAACAACTCTCTGACCTCTATGAGTGGAATAAAGGTAGACAGTATGGAAATCCAACTAAATGTGATGCTTAATGCAGACTCAAAGCCTACTGTGACATAGTATCAACTGAGTACTTCTAATAGCAAACTTGCAAGGGCAGACCAACATATGACTTTTTAAAAGACCCTGCAACAGCCCTTATTAATTTACTTGTGAATCCTTGGTTAAAGAAAGGCCCTTCTGAAGCCATTATTCAATGAATGTGAATACAGTTTTCATTTGATTCACTAATTAAGGCTATCATAGATGAATCCTTGACAACACTGACTCACCTGGTAACCTATAATCAATATCTACAAAATAATATTATTTCTGAATTAATTCTTTCTAGAAGATTTTATTATAATGGCATTATGGGGTTTTGGGGTTTTGGGGTTTTGGGG